CATGTTGCTGGTTCTGTTTTGAGCCAAGATATTAGTAACTGGATTGTCATTGACAACCATGGATCTACTATTGAACAGAACTACATTAATTTCCCATTGAAAATACGATTTTTCAAATTAAATTGCATTGGTTTCTCTGACATAACACTTTTCTTATTGCTGCATGAAGGCAAACCTGTTTAAATAATTATAATGTAGGTGAAGATATTTAGCATGTTGTATAATTGTTATTATACAGAAATTATTTATAATATTATGGCCTTGTGTAATGTATGTCAAGAACTTATTAATTCTCAAAAATGCTAACCTTCTTGCACTACTTTTCTCTTGTGTCCTTACAAATTACAGTTACCTATACTAATTTTTCTAGGTTCAAACAACTTGACAAATTTTTGAATTTTACATTATGCCTTTGAATTTTTCTTTTGTCTTTTGGTAAAATATCAGTAAATGACTTAAAATCAAGTTTATCTAAAATAGTATTTTGTACAAAATAACTATACATAATTGGAAAAGTCTCATGTTGAAGGCGATGTGGCTTCTTTTACTAGATTGCTACTCTTATTCTTTTAAATGATATCGTAATTCTTCAAAAGACATAAAAGTTCTTTTCATCAATTTTTGCTTCTTCCACATTCAACTTCATTGCAACCAATGCATCTTATGTGAATTTTAATCACCTGGAATTGAAAACATATGGATTTTGTCAGATGATGCAGTACTGTATTTAATGTTTCATGCATGTCATGATAAGCTTTTCTTGAGCAAATATTTCAAGGTAGGAGCAAAATTTGGCACATTATTGAACAAAGTAGTTTTATCTTGATTTTGATGTACTAACCTGTTTACTACACTGTGTAACAAACAATTCATTTACAGAAACACCAGATGGCATTTATAAAACTTTTAGCATAAAGCAAACCATTACACACCATCATCATGATTGTCCATAATCTGTCAAATTGTCCAGGCTAGCTGTTTAATACAGGTATTTTTATTGTACGACATGTACCAAAGAGCTCATTAATTAATCTTGCACTGCATTTGATTTCAATACAGCTCTGTCCTTAATATTTGCTTCATATTTTCAGAAAAATATCATGAAAAATCCTCCATTTCAACTCAGTTGAAACAAGGAGTTTTAAGATATGCATATCTCGATAAGAACTGGTTGCTTTGCCTCGTCTAGCAAGCGATTAAGTAAAGAACAAATAAGAATGGATAAACATAACTTAAATTATAACTTAGGAGTAAAACATTCACAAAATATATACAATCACACTTCAAGTATTGACTTAAAACAAAACACTGAACACTTTAAATGGTAAACAATCTTACGTTGCTTACCGGTATCATGAAATGTTTCCTTTTCTGGCATTACTTCAGCATCCGTCTACCAAACAAGTTTGCAACATGTTTTAAAGATAAAATTTCTAAAAGTTTTTGTGTTTGGCATTGATATTTTATATAATCGCTATTGTGGTTGTCAAATCCGGGTGGGCGAAAAAAATTTCATTTTATGAGCCCGCGTCTTTCCGCTGACTTTGACAACCAAAATCCGCCATGTTTTTGACCACGCGGCCGCGCGATGATAATTTATAGTAATTTTGTTTACGTTTCCCCTCCAGGTCTTATAGAACTCAATGGTCCCAACTCTTATACTATAGAGGGCTCTGAAAACTTCCACTTTGAGAAAAATTTTTAACATTCGCTCCCTCCCGAAACGGATCTCTATTACTGCTCGTAGTAATGACAACCAGCGAAAACAACCACGATACCGTAAGCATAAAATATTGAAAATAATGCTTAAGGTTTTTGTGAAATAGACACACACATTTAAATGAGGTAAATCTACTGTAAAATAACGTATATTTTGTCAAGTAATGCTTTAGCTATATTAGAAATAAATATCAAACGGCAATCTTTACACTGTTAATGTGTTGTTAAGCTTTAATGCATAATCCCATGCGCATTACTTGTGTTTTGACTGTTTGTGAACAGCTTGGTGCAACTGTCTTTCTTGAATAGATGGGTAAATCTTAGTTAAAATGTCGAAAAGGAGTTAGAAAAGTTAGCTTAACCCTACGACTTAAGTCGACTGGAAATATATTATAAGTAGGTATGTAATTGTTTTGAGTTTTTTTTGGTAGGATTGATTCTGGGTGTCTTATAAAGTATTATGATATTCTGATAAATCTACTGAGAACTTATGAGGAAAATATCTTGAACTAGGAGAGCAAAAGAACGAAATTCAGAAATTCTATAATCATGTTGCTGATTCTGTTTTAAGCCAAGATATTAGAAACTGGATTGTTATTGACAACCATGGATCTACTACTGAACAGAACTACATTAATTTCCCATTGAAAATACTATTTCTTAAATCAAGTGCATTGGTTTCTCTGACATAACACTTTTCTTATTGCTGCATGAAGGCAAACCTGTTTAAATAATTATAATGTAGGTGAAGATATTTAGCATGTTGTATAATTGTTATTGTACAGTCATTATTTATAATATTATGGCCTTGTGTAATGTATGTCAAGAACTTATTAATTCTCAAAATGCTAACCTTCTTGCACTACTTTTCTTTTGTGTCCTTACAAATTACAGAACCTACTTTTTCTAGGTTCAAACAACTTGACAAATTTTTGAATTTTACATTATGCCTTTGAATTTTTCTTTTTGTCTTTTGGTAAAAATATCAGTGAATGACTTAAAAATCAAGTTTATCTAAAATAGTATTTTGTACAAAGTAACTATACATAATTGGAAAAGTCTCATGTTGAAGGCAGATGTGGCTTCTTTTACTAGATTGCTACTCTTATTCTTTTAAATGATATCGTAATTCTTCAAAAGACATAAAAAGTTCTTTGCCATCAATTTTTGCTTCTTCCACATTCAACTTCATTGCAACCAATGCATCTTATGTGAATTTTTAATCACCTGGAATTGAAAAATGTATGGATTTTGTCAGATGATGCAGTACTGTATTTAATGTTTCATGCATGTAATGATAAGCTTTTCTTGAGCAAATATTTCAAGGTAGGAGCAAAATTTGGCACATTATTGAACAAAGTAGTTTTTATCTTGATTTTGATGTACTAACCTGTTTAGTACACTGTGTAACAAACAATTCATTTACAGAAACACCATATGGCATTTATAAAACTTTTAGCATAAAGCAAACCTTTACACACCATCATCATGCTTGTCCAAATCTGTCAAATTGTCCAGGCTAGCTGTTTAATACAGGTAATTTTTATTGTACGACATGTACCAAAGAGCTATTAATTAATCCTGCACTGCATTTGATTTCAATACAGCTCTGTCCTTAATATTTGCTTCATATTTTCAGAAAAATATCATGAAAAAATCCTCCATTTCAACTCAGTTGAAACAAGGAGTTTTAAGATATGCATATCTCGATAAGAACTGGTTGCTTTGCCTCGTCTAGCAATCGATTAAGTAAAGAACAAATAAGACTGGATAAACATAACTTAAATTACAACTTAGGAGTAAAAACATTCACAAAATATATGCCATCACACTTCAAGTATTGACTTAAAACAAAACACTGAACACTTTAAATAGTAAACAATCTTACGTTGCTTACCGGTGTCATGAAATGTTTCCTTTTCTGGCATTACTTCAGCATCCGTATACCAAACAAGTTTGCAGCATGTTTTAAAGACAAAATTTCTAAAAGTTTTTGTGCTTGGCATTGATATTTTCTATAATCGCAATTGTGGTTGTCAAATCCGGGTGGGCGAAAAAAATTTCATTTTATGAGCCCGCGTCTTTCCGCTGACTTTGACAACCAAAATCCGCCATGTCTTTGACCACGCGGCCGCGCGCTAATAATTTATACTAATTTTGTTGACGTTTCCCCTCCAGGTCTTATAGAACTCAATGGGTGAGGCAAGGACGCCATCTTGAAAGGTGGCAAAAATCAAAACTCAAAATGAAAAATAGATTAAAGAAAGTTAAAAAAACAACAATCAAATCAAGAATATCAACTTTGCAACTGTATATCAACTCAGGAAAAGCGGATCGTATCAGCCGTAACTCCGATAGCTGTAGAATCTCGGCGGCGTCAATATCTAGTAGATTGAGTTCTAGGTCATTGACTCGCACTCTAGCTCTGAGTCCGAGTGAGACACAGAACTCCCGCTAACCAAAGGCAATCTCATTTACACATCGCTGTCATTGATGGCAGGGAATAGTTATGAGTCATTTTGAGGCGTCATTCGGCGAGTGAGCTTTTAGAAAACAGGCGTAAGTCCTCGAGTTTTACAATTTGATGAAAACGAGTTTTTTGAGCACAGATGCATATTTAGGGTGTCTACATGATCCCGGCTTGCCGCTATTGAGTGAGGCGTGAAATGATTTCGAGACATTGAAAAGGGGCAAAACTTCAAAGTTAAAAATTACAACTGTTTGTTAAGCGCCAAAAGTCATTCCTGTTGTAATTCTCAAACTAGGCCAAATTGGTTGTTTTAGTTTCAAATGTTTTGCGTAGTTATTAATTCAAATTATTGTGAAATTGCTCGAGAAGATTTATCTGATGATAAGCATTGAATCGTTTCCATTTGCCAAAATCATTGCCTGAATCCCGGCTACCCGGGCTCATGTAATCAGCCCCTTAGTTAAACAAAATCAAACGCGACTTTTTCTATGTGAGATGTAGGAGAAATCTTCATTTAATAAAGAACAGACAGCGTTTGGACTAAACAGCATGCGAACGAACAAAAAATTCCTAAGAACATCGGCAGTATAAATAGACCCCTCCCCTCTCCCCACTTTTCAATAACACGATAAAACGCAAAATTTTACAGGGACAGTGTCATAATTCAAACCTATATATGTGTATCAATGTACATAGTATCAACATCTTTATTGAACGCCTTAATCCGCCACTAAAGTAAATATTATTTTAATCCTTTACAACCATAATTGACGTTTTTATCTCCTCCGCGGTATCATATTTCCAAGTTCGCAAATCATTTTGTTGTTTTCCTTCCATACTTATTGACACAAAGCGTACGTAAGGCAACTAAAGCATTCGCGGTTTCTTCAAATCGACATCAGTGATAATGTGATCAAGGTAAATCTTCCTAGTTCGATGGAAATCGAAATAGCTTCGAAAACAAAAGCGACGTCTCGAAGGAGATTAATTGAAGCCATAGTCGATGGTAGACTTTATCTGACCAAGATCATTCTTAAAGACCTCGCTGATTTGAACTTTTTCGACAGTCAACATCGAAGTCCGCTGATGCTTGCCTTCATGATCGATGACGAAAAACATCGAACAAGAGCGGCGATGATCAACAGGTTATTGCGACACGGTGCCGACGTGAACTTGATGGATAACAATGGTCAGCATGTTCTACATTGGGCATGCAAAATGAATAAATTGAACTTGGTGCGACTGCTCATGGAGAAATGCGTCATGGACATCGATCTGTCATCGCAGGATAACGAAGGCAACACACCACTGATGTACGCAGTTCTTAACAGCAATACAAAAATGGTGAAAATTATCGTCGACGCCATGACGAAATTCCGTTTGACGGTAGATCAAAGAAATAAGGAAGACAAAACGGCTTATTACAAATCAGTGGAACTTGGCTACGATGAGTGCACGGGTATTCTGTCGCGGGTTGGTAATGCATCTCAAGGCATACAGGTCAATCCATTTCACAATTTTGATAAAAAGAACTTTCGCGGTCGCCCATCCTCAGCACCGGAATTCAAAAGATATGGCTACCAAAAATCCGCGCAAATTCACTGCCGCCAATCAACCGATCACCGTTCGAGACAAAAAACAGCAACTGTACGGTGCACCCTTCAAAAAACGCTTCATCAAAAAGGAACAAAAGAACTTAAGAGATGTAGCCCTGAAAAAATGGCTTATCCAAATAAAACAATTATGAATAAAGCGACAACAGAACTTAGGAGATGTAGCCCTGAAAAAATGGCTCATCCAGACAAAACTATTATGAATAAAGCAACAATAGAATTTAGGAGATGTAGCCCTGAAAAAATGGCTCATTCAAGCAAAACAATTATGAATAAAGCGACAACAGAACTTAGGAGATGTAGCCCTGAAAAAATGGCTCATTCAAGCAAAATAATTATGAGTAAAGCGACAACAGAACTTAGGAGATGTAGCCCTGAAAAAATGGCTCATCCAGATAAAACAATTATGAATAAAGCGACAACAGAACGTAGGAGATGTAGACCTGAAAAAATGGCTCATCCAGACAAAACAATTATGAATAAAGCGACAACAGAATTTAGGAGATCAAACACGAAAAATGATCGAGCAACCCATTCACCATCGGAGCCATTGCAGAAAACCACTTTGAAAAATCCTCAATCTTTCGAACAACAACAGTGTTTTCTAGGACTTTTACTGAATGATTCGGAGAGAGACGATTCAAGCATGTCGGGTCCTTCAAGTAGCCATGACGATCTAGCAAAACTGGCCGTTATCAATTGCAAAAGAGCCGAGCTATCAAACGCATCTGTCGACAAGGTGAATATCAAGTGAATTTGCATGATGGTTGACGGTAAGCCATGGACGGATTTCCTGGGGGGGAATGCAGGGACTCTACCCTCAAAATATCAGATTTTCCCCTATTAATAAATTGTTCGCCCCTACAGAAAAGTTTTAACAAAACAAATCAATAGTGCGGCCGTACCGAGTTTTTCTGGGAAGTATTTGAACTTTACACTACCTTTGGTAACTGCACACTACCGACCGCCCCTAAAAATCTTACTCCCTTGCATTGCCTTACTTCACTTACCAGCACAATCCACCCACCCCCCCCCTCTCTCCCAAAAAATTTTTTAGCACTACCCATGAAAAAAAAACATGAAAATCCGCTCGTGCCGAGAGAAAGCCCAGTGGCAAGTCATAATGGTAGCATTTGATTGGTCAATATAATGGTGACGGTATACAAATACATATTTGCAGAACAACGAATATTGCAACTTCGGTTTTTCCCACTACATCTCATTTTTGGAATGGAAGAATGGAGTGGAGAAACACGAGTCGTCTTTACGACGATTTCTCGCTCTAAGAGGCGAGCAAGACTCGCCGACGTCGTCTTTCAGAAAAGGTTTTCCCCTTCAAAGGTGGCAACAAGCCCAAGATCTCGAAATTATTGGCGATACGTCCTCGACATCCGGTGAGAGCAAAGCAAGTACGGGTAAAAAATTTTCGACCATCGCAAAAACTATCGGAATATCCTTATATCTCAATAACAAAAGGAAAGCGACCAATAAATGACGATGAATAAATAGATTATGTCGCGTGTCTACATGAAGTAACGTTCGTGCAATCTATATATGATCGACAATGACTTTTTTGCCCGAACGGAGTCTTCAATCGTGCATGCATGAGAAACGTGGAAACTTATCTGCGTTCATAAAGTCTTGGAGTAAGTAGATCCATCTGGTTTGCCGAATATTACAACATTCGCCATGTTTATGAACAAACCGTTCTCGACAACGCCTAAAAAATATACCATTCATTTGATATACAAAGAGTAATTATAATGACCGACTAAAGCTACCATGGAGACGTCGCATTGTCTAATGAGTGGCTGTAAAATTTTAAACATCTTTGTTCCTGGCAAGTTGCGGATGAAATGTTTGGAAAAGATTTTTTGTACAATGGATGAACAAAAAAAAGTAGCGCGCCACTCTCAAAAACATCGTTACTTACAGACAGATTGATAGATTACTTGATGGTGAAGAAACTGTTTTATTTTATAGCTTGGTCTAAGCATACTCTTTAGAAAAAATAAAACGTGTTTAATTGGGCGTGTTTCAACATATCAATGACCTCAAACACACAAGCAGGGGGGCGGATTTGCAATGAGAGGGGGGTGCGCGCCCACAAAATTCTCTAACACCCCTAAAAGAAAAATTCTAAAGTGGTAACTTTAATATAACAGTATTAGAGACTACGAAATTGTACAGTAAGACTGAGTGAAACCTCAAACACACAAGCCGGGGGGCGGGCTAGCAATGAGGGGGTGTGCGCACCCCTAAAAAAAGTATTAGAGACTAAGAAATTGTACAGTAAAAGTAGAACTTCTCATTTCAAAGGCAATTACATATTTTATATTACCACCATTTGCAATTGAGTATTACCATGCGCGTTTTCATTGAAACATTAAAATTGAAATAAATTACTTAACACACATTAATTAACGAAAAACACGTAAATTTTTTTTTAAAAACTAAGGACACTTTCCTAAAAATCCACACCGAGGCAACTTTACCTAGGATAACGATGCACACACACCCTCCCTTGGAAATTCTGCACCTATCCTGTCGAATGAGCATTGACCCGCTCTGGCACATAAGAGGATTTGTTTCCACAAAAAAGTACATTGTGATGCAATGGCCAACACAGTCACCTCTTTTTAACCTTATGGAAAACTTAAACCCGATTCAAACTTCAATCTTCATATGAACCGACCCTTATTTTGCCATTTACTTCATGTAAAGTTCGACGTTCGAACCAGGCCTTAAAGGCAGAGCAAATTAAGTCACTTGCCAAAAACTCATAACCAACAAATGACGATGAGCATTTTTCAATGCTGAGAAATACGCAGATGAAACGAATAAGCAACGAAGCTAGTTGAAAACAGAACTATATACGCAGTTGTTGCATTTCATGCAAAAGCATTGCCACAACACTATTTATGCAATTTGCTTGTATTTATTTTTCTTTTAATTGCTTGAAATTGTTGACGATCGTTGAATTAACATTTTTATTGCATTTTTTTTGACAGTAAATATGTTTTTCATTTCTACACAATTTGCCAAAATTGACGAGCATGAATCCAGTGAGAATACTTCTCTATGAAACCTACTTTTTCGTTCATCCATTGCAATCAACACTACACATGGTACCTCTGACGATATGGTACCTCTGACGATATGGTACCTCTGACGATATTGTACCTCTGACGACTGAAGTTCTCATTATGCAATGTGATGCAATGAATATGACGTCACTGGTTGTATAAATTGGACATTTCAAAAATTATCACAAAAATGAAAAGAGATGTGCATGAGCTGTTTCAGAATGTCTACTATCATTTAAAAACAAAATATCTTCACTCATAACAAAACTTCAAATACACAAACCTGGAATCATATTGATCTCTTTGTTCAATCGATCCCAATTCTGAACCTAAACGTGATCAACAAGTTCAATATCGTGGCCAGCGATTTGAAGGATAACGTTATGAATACGACAGCTCCAACAATAGCTATATTGAAAGTGTTATGTCGGGCGATCATATTCATAATGAAAAACAATCATATTCATAATGAAAAACGGTCATATTCATAATGAAAAACGGTCATATTCATAATGAAAAACGGTTTGAACATTTTAATTTTACTCGTCATGCATGTTTTGAAGATGAGGAAAAATTCTTCTTACATCTTTAAAGTGACAATCAAGAATAAAGTTACCATTGTCGGTGACAACCGGGCCCTAAAATAAAACAGAAATCCATCAAAGTTTTCTGACTCCAGTTAAATGTTTATCAGGCAACGGAGAAATGCAATCATATCCAAGAGGCAATATAAGACTTTGAAAAGAAATATAAAGGAATTTTAACCAGCAAATATTTGAATGTGAAAGAGCTGGAAATTTCTGTTCTTGCAGAATCATCAAGGACCTCTAGCACATTTTGATTAAGAGTGTAGCGCCCCAAAGCTCTGGGGTCTGTGATCATGACTCAGATTGTGATGAGAGAGTAATATGGATGCCAAGGTTCAAATTTGCTCATGTGTGAGATTGCCCATAAGGCATTACCACAGAATAATAATTATATACAGAGGGGCCACTCAAGTGTGCACCGTATCCCCACGGCTGCCATTATTCCAGCAAGATACAGAGGGTTTTTCGCTTGTTTCCAGCCACTGCAATGACATGACGGCATTTCTTCGCAATGAAATCGGTGCACGTTCATGCACGTGCGACATCGTGTAATATTAAACTAATGTCACAATTTGTGAGAATTGTCATGTATGGAGTAAATTTACGCCTATTTCATAAGTGGATACTTACAGCTTTGTTTTTGGCCATCCTAAGAATGGGAGTTAAATTTAGGTTCTCCAATGCTAATATGACCGGAGAGTACGCCATGGGAATTACTTCAACAGGAATGCCTCGTTTCCACTGTTAAAAATGTTATGCTTATTATATACCACCAAAATTTCATGCACAGATCTGTCTGCTGGCTATGGGCAGTGCTGTAGAACTAAATTTATCAGATGGGAAGCTCTCTTGACGTTTTTGTCAATAGTGCCCTTTTAAAATTACCCATTTCAAAGGTAGAAGGGGGGCACCTCCCCCAACCACACCCCCCCACTTCTACAGCACTGGCTATCGGTGAATGCAATACATGATTAAGATTGTTTTGACGTGAGGGGGAAATTCAAATGAATACATGCAGTTTGAATAAGTTGAACAATTGACAACTTTTTTATTTCGAATGTTTTTTTTGCTTCTTTGTAATTAACAGTAACAAAGGCGGCCCGTTCTTTCCTCCCACAATGCAAAAATGTTTGCGTTCAATCGCTGAAAAACAATGAATGAAATAAATTTACAGTAATTTTTCTGAAAAATTTGCAATGAATGGAATAAATGTACAGCAATTTTGCTGAAAAATTTGCATAGTAGGAGTAAAAGATCGGGCTCCCTTTGCCACTGGTGGTTAGAAAAAAATGCACCAATTTTCTTTAGCCAACCTGCTCTCCAAAGTGTGTTGAATCCTTCCTAAGAAAACAGCAATAGATTAAATGTCTGTGTGACATCACTATCACAAAATCCTCTCACTCAAACTGGTGAAACCTATAGTGCTAAAGAATTCACCAACCTTTCATCGGCAACAACAACAAATGTTTGCGCACAAGAAGCCACTATCTTTTCTTGAGTTAAACAGCCCCTACAAAAGTAATCACACTCATAGTCATCCATGAAATCGGTCAATTTGAGGTTGAAAATGGTGTTTACCCTCCTCCTTTAATCAAATTTAACGAGGCATCAACTTCATCGGCCCCATCAAATGCAACATCCAGCTAAGTATAGGCATGCATCACATTGAGTGTAAAATTTCATTGCAATATTTCAAATTTTAAGATACAATAAAATATTCACAATGCTTTGCTTACCCTTGGATTTCTGTTTAAATCAGTAAGATACAAATCATTCTCTACGATAAGCTGTTTTGCCTGCCATAAGAACATAATCAGTATAGTTTCTTCTGCACAGTGTAGGGATCAAAGCAGTTTATTGTGCACTTTGTAGGGATCAATGGAGTTCATTGTGCACTTTGTAGGGATCAATGGAGTTCATTGTGCACTTTGTAGGGACCAATGGAGTTCATTGTGCACTTTGTAGAGAACAATGGAGTTCATTGTGCACTTTGTAGGGACCCATGCAAGACTAAAAACTTTGTGAACTGTGCATAAACAAGATTGTGTGCATAAAAGTGAGTTCTCAATTGGACAGTACAAGCTTTCCAGTCTGGGATCAATGCAGTCCATTGTGCACTATATAGGATCATAAATATATTTTCCCATTACACACCTGAAATGAGGTAGGTACACACTTGATTTGAAGATTTTCTTTCTTCACTTTCTCGCCTGTTGAAAATAATTCAATGGTGAAGAGCGCGACAGGTCTCCAGCTGCTCTTAAATTTACTGTCACTAGATAATACATGTAAAACCTACCTAAATGTTGTATTGCAGGTACAATGGTCGAGCCACTACCAACCCCAATCACCTGATTATCCTGAAACTCAGAAAATACGGACAGTTCATTGCCATTTTTCGTAACTCCAAATGTTACAAAATTAAGCAAACTTTGTTCGCACTTCCTTCGATGTGCCAATCAGTCTTCAACATATATGTTAGGATATCCTCGAAAATTATAATGAGTTCTTCTTCCTACCTTTACGTATCGGTCAATAGCAGCACAACCTGCAGCTTTCTTTGCAGCATCCATGTGTAATCTTTCAACGGTTTGCAGCGAAAATAATAACTTAAAATATCTGTGGAACGAGAACATTTATTTGAATAATGGCACATTTCGAAATTAGCATACAATAGATGATTACTTCATGTAAGCCACTGTAATTGAGCCGTATCGAATAAACGGTTCGTGTCCACTAAACGTTAAAAATCTAATTCTGTTCACATGTTTTCTTTTGGTTGATAAAAGAACATAAAAGTCTTTCTCCAAAAATAACATAAAAATCTTTCCCACGGAAACAGTTTCGCCCATTTTTATTTTTGCTTTTTAAAAACTGGCAGGCATCTTTCTCGTGATCCCAAAATTCTCCTCGATGTACTGCAGAACTGCATGGAGATTTGTCAAACTGTTAAAAACTCTTCTTTCTACATAAAAAGGTTCACCACAAAGTAGTTAAGGGAACAAGTCAAAGTTTGTGAATGCATGCTACAACCAAACCTTGTTTGCCAAGAACTTTTTTCAGCATAAACATGAGATGATGATGAAAATGTGTGTAGGAAATGCCTATCGAAAGGCTGATATCAATCTGCAAGCAAAATGAAAATGAACACAGCGACAGTATATCAGGTATTTGCTAGAAACATCTCTTACCCAATCCTGAAGACATTGTATTGGAAGTGACTTGTACCCAGCATACATTGCAGGATTTACTAAAATGCCTCTGGCAGCCATGACACCTTGTAAATTTTAATTAAGTACATCAATTATTAAATCAAAACGAACATGGATTAAATTTAAAATCACCACAATGGCAATAGATCTCCACAAACCATCAACACCCGTAGCTTCCTTTACTTGGGCAATGTCATCATCATTTCTTATGTCACCATTGGCAACAACTGGAATACTGACACTATCCTTTATCTAAACAAGTTTCGGAAGTTAACTTCATCATAAATATACAAACATCTGACATTTAATAATGAAGTCCGGTGAAATATTACCAACTTTATGGTTTCGTAGGAGCAAGGTTGTGATCGCTGTTCTATTGTTCTACCATGTACTGTAATCCATGACACTCCAGCATGTTCCGCTTTTCGACACACATCCACAGTCTCCCTTGAATAGTCAACATAAATTATCAGTAAAGTAAATGGTTTGAACCCGGGAGTATCGTTACATGTTTGTAGATGTAGATCATCCAGGTTGGTATAGTCCTAAGAAGGACTGTTTTTGTTGTTGTTGACTGACGTTTCGACAACCTTAGCAGTAGTCATCTTTAGAGTCATATATTACTCTGAAGATGACTACTGCTAAGATTGTCGAAACGTCGGTCAACAACAACAAACACAGTCCTCAGGACTATACCAACCTGGACAATCTACATCTACAAACATGTAATAAATTATCATTGTAGATTCTACATAGAATTCGCATGACAGCGGCCAACCTTGTATTGTGATGAATTCGGATTTTAATAGAGATAGGAAAGTCATTCGGAACCCTTTGTTTTGTTTGTTTGACCATATCTTCTATCAGTTGAGGGTTCTGTATGAGATATGCCCCGTAACCAGCTTTCATCGCCCATCTATTCAAATTATTATTACAAAGTATGGAAGAAGTTAGCAAGTTTTTAATAGAAATAAAGAGTGAAGCAATGGCATATTGACTGAAAACCATCAATGACCCCACAATGACCCAGTGCGTACATTGTGTCCCTACCTTTGAGGACAGCCACAGTTCATATCAACACCATCTGAAAATGGCACAATCAATTCGGTTGCATCAGCAAAGTCCTTGGCACATTTTGATGCAAACTGGACAACTAGTGGGCGATCGGCTAAGTAAAAAACACAAAAGTCATATGTAAAATGAAGAAAATGCAGATATTGTCGAAACTTACAAGCATTAGTCGTGAAATCACTGTCTCTCGCCTTCTGTGATTGGATGAAGGAATCAGAAACAATCATGGGAGTGAATGCCAAATCACAACCATATCTTGATTAAAATTGGATTCAACATCAATTAATTTAAAGATTATCATAACGCATATAAGTGGAACCATACAGTAAATTGTAAAATTACCTTCGAACTAAACAACGGAACGGTAATCTAAACAAAAAATTTTCACTGTTTTCTTGAATTTGAAACGATAATTTGCAAAACGATCTTCATTCGGCACCTACTTGGAATATCGAACCATAGGAGCACATATCTTCACAATTTCTTTTCTTTTGAAGAGTTCTATGGGATTTAACCAATTCTTTTGCTGGCTCTCCCCAGCAAGTTCCATATACAATATAACATTACCTAATTTGCAGTATTCTTGTAAAATGGACCAAAATATACCATTGTTATTGTTATTATATTTTTAATCTTTTCATTTACAATACATCTAGCTCCTCTTTACCAAGCCCCTCGTCGCCGTCTCGCTGTCATTTGTCTCATGAAATGCGCGCGAAAACATGGCAAAATGTTACTTTAAAATTTAAGTAATCATTTTCAAAAGACGAATACTACGAAATGACGAACTTTTGAGAGGTCTACTGCTATGAAAGGAGAGGCACACGTGGCGGGGCCTCCTCCAGCTTTTTTTTAAATATGTATTAAAGTTTTGGTCCATAATCTTATAGAGGACAAAGAAGGAAGATCGGGCTAAAATTTTGGCACTGTAAAGAAAATTAAGACACTACAATAGTCTGTCTCAGGAGGTACGGCCCCATTCACCACGTCATTTTGGGAATTTGTGCTCCCGTATGAAATTTGACATTTTTCTCGACTCCAGTGAGTAGGAAATGACGCAAATATCGTCATTCCTAACAATTCAACGTCTTATAAATCGCATAAATGATAAAACTCAACAAATTGGTAAAAAGTGATTTTTATATTTTACAAAAAGAGAGACACTGGTCAAACCAGAAGTATTTGAAAATCAGCGATAGCGTATAGGATACTGACGTCTGATCTCGAGCTCAACCGCAAACCATCGTGGTATAAAGATACTTCTTTTTGCAACTTTACTTATGGTCTAGCAGGCAGTGTACTTCAAAAACTACCACTGGCAGGGTTTAAGCGGGGAAGGCGTCCAAAATCAATCTTACATATGCTATATTATGATTTTTACTGTAAAAACAAAGAGCTTATTACTCTCCGACCCCCCCCACCCCCCCACTCTCATGACAGTGCCTATGCTTCTAATCTCTTTCTATAAAAAGGCCGTGTAACATGCCGTTAACCCGATTGAGTCATATTGCAAACTGGATCTTTTTGCCCGATACATTGCTGTGCAATTATATCTTTGTATTCCACCCAATAATAAAGTTGATGAATATAAAATATTTTTTTACAATCACAGGATGCGGCAAAGATCTTAGCTCTTGAGTACACAGGAGGATTGCTGAACCATCCGAGGACCTTGCGAAGATTATTTCGCTTGCATTTTCGATAGTTGTAGTAATAAGAACCTAAAAATGTTTTAATTCAAATTTAAGTTTCAATTAACTCGTGGATATTGTAATTTCACATTAATCAACGACAAATTTAACGCGCATTAAGAAAAACGACGCGTGTTTTTAGATTACAGGTAACTTCACATCACTCATTTCGCACTAAAGATGGGGGTGGGGTGGGTGAGTGCCAAAATTTTAACAACGATGTCTCTCATACTTATTTTCAGCGGGGCGAAAAAATTACAGTTTACACACACACAATTCAAAAATATGAGCATAACAAAATACGCACCGGTAAAATTATTTTTTTAATGGGAAATTCCTGCCGATTTTGTTCATCAGATCGGATACGTCAAATAATATTCCTTCCATCCGGGTGAGTTTCTGCGATAAAAAAAAATATGCGACAAAATCTATGATAGAGACTGGAGTCGAAAAAAGACTGGAATCGAAAAAAGACATGCCGACCGCTTCGTACCTCGTCGTTTTTGTTTGTGATTTTAAATTTTATGGAGCCCGGTAATGACCCATGACGACACACCCATCTGACGTAGGGCGAGCCAGGAGATAGAAAGAAATATGAGCACAGTGCACCAAAGACGAAAAATAGAAAAATGCCTATTAGCACCCGATAATTTCTTCGAGAGATCTCTGAACAGAAAAATATCGAGGTTTTTCTTAGAATTGTGTATCACAAAAAAATTCTTGGTTATCATCGTGAATCACAATCGAATCGTTCTTAAAAAAACGTTGTAAACTAAAACAACGATAGCTGTGAAATTAAATGAGGCGATGCATTTGAAGTGCGCAGAAGTGTGCGAAAGTCTAAAGAAGTCTGCAGAAATGCATCCTTTTACGATTTAATTTCATAGCTATCTTCATTTTGATTTTCAACAGTTCCTTTAAATACATCTCAATTGTCATTGAACATGACAAATATGCTGTTCGAAGCAAAATTACATTAGAAAATACGTCTTGCCTTTTCCTTTATGTGCAACATAGTCACGCGTGTTCGAGACGATCTGCGCCATGCCCTCCATTTGGATGTCGACGTCATCACGAAACTCGTCCATTTTCCTTTCAAAATCCTCGGCCATCTTTTCTTCCAGTTTGGCGAGGATGTTCTCGATTTGATCATTACTTATCGAAAGCAAGATGGACACAATACAATCCACCATTTTTACCTCGCTCGAAGTACTCTCTTCAATGGAATATCCGAGAAGGCGCTTTTGACGGAGGTTTCCTTTTAAAAAAATAGTCACATCAATTGCGGCAGTGAACAAGCTATAAAAACGATTTTTGCCACGTGATCAGCCTACCATTGTCGGCCTTAAATTGTTTCTCGGTAACAGCGACTCCCGGTAATTTATTGGATGCAAACAAGAATTCGCCATGTTTTACAGCACCGTAAACCTTAACTGGGATTTTACCCATCATGCATACCTTCTCACTGGGGTAACTTGTTTCATCTACAGAGGAAAATTCATAATAGATATCTACATTCGTCCCTCGATGTTGCTACACGAGTGTTCGTACCTTGTGTGTTAGCTGAAATGTAGTACGATCTTGTGATCACACCAGCCAAAATAGCGCCGTTGTAGTTTATGGGAGTTAGCAAGTCAAGATATGTTTTATCACGATCTTTGCTGGGAAATATTCCGACAACATCTCCCTCATCATATCTTTCGACCGATTCATCTGATTCGTTATTCAACTGCCAAGAATACGCGATGTCTCCCCTGTACGTTGTCAGTCGTTCGATTTGCAGGTCTTTTATATCAGCTTGCTGTGCTTCAAGCTTGATAGCTGATATATATTGTTGTTTACGGTTTTCTGTGAAATATAGACGTCTTCAACATATTTAAAATACATTATTTTTAGTTCATATAGTCCACACCTTAACAAACCACTTTTTTACCTTTCGTTTTTGTTCTGAATCGATACACGTCTTTCCAATAACATTGGTTTTCTATCGAAATTTGTATTCGAAAAACAAATATGTTATTGACAGGTGTTGATTGGTCAGACATGTACAGTTCTTTCCCGACATTCCTATGATAAAACTCCTCCGGGTCTAGATTTGCCGTCACGCTATAGACATAAATCTCCGCATCTGAAACAATGACTGATATCAGACCAATGAGAAAATACAAGTACCAAACTTTGTATCTATTGTTTACCATTCGCAGATTCCATCGTGTTTAAAGACAAACATAAAGGGATCTTGGTTAAACCAATGACAGCTTTAGGTTTTCCAACCATTGCATGGTCATTCACGCGTTTCACGTAACCCTGACAGCAGCAATCATCGAGAGCAAAGTTCGACTTACAAGTAGAAGTGAAATCCTGAAAAGATTAAATCATATAAGATAAAGTTATCAATACAATCCTAAGTACGGACAAATTTAGATCTTGCCTTGTCTTCGAGCCTTTGTTTACGACCTTTATGAGGACCTGTGGAAAGTTGCTTTTTGAAGCGTACACTAATCTCATCTTGACTGATTTCGCCGCTTTCAACGTCAATCTGAAAAACTGTTTTTGACAAAAAGAAGCTGATGAGAGAGTAACGAAAAAAGTCAAACACGATTCTCCTTGTAAACCTTTTATTTTGAAAGTGCACACGACAAAGCTTAACCCGTCAAGATGAAAATATAGGACCAGGTCAAACAAATAGTTGTGAACGCTATCCTTCAGAACATCTCTCAGTGATACAATTAGATTCGTTCCTAAACGAGAATCAACATTTGAAAAGCTTTTAATTTGACTTAAAGTTTCCTGTTTGTTAGAACCTCTTCCTCAGAAAATTTCATGGAACACAAATTGCCGAAAATTGGAGCACGTGAAACAAATTTATCGAAATTTGCTCATTTTCAGATATGAGCACTTCAAGTATAAACACCAACGCTTTTCATCACAAAGAAATGTAACAATAGAATCCTGCATATTTGTGGATGTAGATCGTCCAGGTTAGTAGAGTCCCGAAAGGGACTGTTGGTGTCGATGTTGACTGACGTTTCGACAACCTTAGTGGTCGTCATCTTTAGAGTCAAGGGAGGAGTAAACGCCATGTTAGCTGTCATCGTAAGAATCAGATAACACAAATACGGCTAACCTGACGTTAACTCCTCACTTGACTCTGAAGATGACTACTGCTAAGGTTGTCGAAACGTCAGTCAACAACAACAAAAACAGTCCCTCTCAGGACTATACCAACCTGGACGATCTACATCTACAAACATGTAACGATACTGCCGGGTTCCAACCATTTACTTGAAAGAATCTTGGTTCTTACCATCGGAATAATTGACTCTTTCCATGAGAACTTGTCGAGTCATGATGTTATCTTGAATACACGTCGCTATTGTTGAATTCGAAATATCGATGTAGGGATGGAATATTTGCAACTTCAAAACCTAGATAAATATAACAAAAATTTTCGTACAGTACAAGAAGATGAACAGTACAAGAAGATGAACAGTAAAGATTGAGAAATGAAAGTGAAGCAGCGTGACTGATACCAATTTCAAATCTTTTCCATTGGATTGCACAGCAATATGTAATGTACACGTCGAAAATGCAATACAGCCGAGTTAGCGAAGCCAGTCGATGTTTAACTCTTGTATGTATGAATAAACAAGCAAAACAATCGTTAAATATTTGCTCAAGTGGAATGAAACAAAACTAGCAAATAGCAATCATTGTAAGCGAGCGAAACTGTAGCCTTGAACAACATTAGACAGAACCGCGAACGATATTACTTGAACAATGTTTTTAATACGACTTAAAAATTTGTACGTTTTTGGCATATCATTGGCGAATACCTCACGGTTCGGCACGCATATCAAGTACCACTGGTGACACACCAATGATGTGCATGGCACAAGAAACATTTGCATGGACATGAAGCTACAAAGTAGCTAGTTTAATGATTGGTGGAGCGAGGTCAACTCTCTTTTCTTCAATGCAACATCATCGTGTTCACTCATTGCAAGAACAATGAAATTAAATTTCCAAAGAAATGAAAACCTTGGCAAAAGGTGAAATGGCAAGGGTGAAATTTCGTGTGAACACCGAACACGTATAAATTGAGCTTCCGATAGTCGGATCTGTAAATCTAAAAAATCGGATGGAAATAGAACTTGCTCTATTTTCATCCGAGATAATCAAAGCAAGCCGACTAGTCAAGTTACATAGATTTGAAAAAGACTTGGAAACAAGAACAAAAATACGAAAAACATATCGATAAATGTACTGGATAGCACAAATAGCTGCTCGCATGACTTTATATATCTAAACGAATGTAAATATCAGCAAAATTATCGGACTGTCTTAATAATTATCCAAAAGTCGGAATCGGAACAATCGGCTCGTGTGAACGGGCCTTTAATTCGACTGTTCGCCGGATAGTCTGTAGCCGAGGATTGACCTTGTGTATAACCGTGAGTAATAGCTAAAGTAATGATTCGAACAAAGAAAGTCATCTGCACAAGTCTTAAACTCGCTTCAGATAGCTATTCATACTTGTGGAGGCATTGTATCTGTTGTAAAAAAGAAAATATTAACTAAAGTTAGAAATCGATTCAGGCAAACTAGAACTACTTCATGTAAACGCACCCAAAGAAATCAGTGTAGTGTTGGTCAACCATAAATTTTCCAGGACGAGCTTCAACGAACGCCTTCAGAATATTATATTTAGCAAAACCAGCCTCATCAAAACCAGGAGTGTAAAGACCTATTGAAAAACAAACAGATTGTACGATGAATCGATCTTTCCCGGCTATCTAAGCAGCAGATTTTTCTTTCCCGTGCATGAACGAACAATGCAAACCTTGACCAATCAGCCTGTTTATTGATGGATGTGTATCTTCAACAAGCAGATAATCTCCAGGTATCATAAACTTCTCCAAGTAACCGACAGAATCCTCCAACGGAACGTGACAGTCTTCGGTGATGAACCAAGGATGAGGCATTTCCTAGATCAATAAAAAATTAAAAATACAGAGGTGTGTGTGGCGTGAATTGACAGCAAGATGTGACTGACGTTTCCAATCGCTTGCAAAGCTTGCATCTATGTATAACATCTCGAGTTATTTGTTTTAGAGTACTGTCAATGAAATAGAGGCGTGTTTTAGAGTACTGTCAATGAAATAGAGGCGAGTTATTACATTCCTTTAGTCATATTATTAGAAATATTGTTACTATGTAAATTTCCGCTAATATGTTTTTTAAAGCGGTGAAAAATATACATTATGTAAGTTTTTCGTTTATTTCTTTATCCATTCTGAACATAAAGATGAATGATATGAATGGAAGTCTGTTTGTCGGTCAGTTAGTTGGCCGTTGTATAGTGCAGGTGCACCCTTCCCCTTTCATATTTCCAGGACATCCGTTTTTTCAAAAATACATAAGAAAAAAAGTAAATAAACAATAAGTGAAATTGCTTGTTGGAATTCAGAAATAGAAAAGTTTCCCATGCATTTGTGTCACGTGTTTGTTTTCCATTTAAAGCTCGCGTGTACCAAGTTCAAAAGGCTTAACAAATGGTATTGGTAGCATGTAAAACGTCATTTAAAAAGCCAATAAAATCACGAGTACGAGAATTTTCTTCTCAAATGCGCACTCCTTAAAACTTTCTGGTTACGGCCCTGATACCTTCAGTTTTTCCGTTGGCAGAACTTTCTCCATGTCCTTAGAGGCATCGGCCAGTAGAAACGTGATGTCCTTATTAGATTTGGCTTTTTCATGAAGACATTCAAAGGATATATCAATGGAGTACACGTGACATCGAAAGTCGAATGATCGTGCGATGTCCGCAAGCCAAAGAGCACTGCCTCTGGAGTATGTTCCAAGCTCGAAAATCGTGACTGGTCTTTCGCTGTAAATCAAACTTTGAAGAATAACAAGATCTAGCGCATCTTTCATGAGTTCCACGCCTTTCCACGTTGTCTTGTACTTACCTAGAAGGACAAAGCAAGAGTCGTTTGCTCGGTGTATTGATGAGATATTTGAAACAAGCCGTTTTTAGTATCATTGCACTGTTCGAACACACAATCACACTATCAAATATTTTGTATAAACTCGTGTTTTAGGAATATGCGCAAAATAGGTCAAGATGAAGAAAGGGGGTATTTTTTATACGAAGATAATTTTTGTCCACCACCTTAAAATCTGTATGCCCGTCTTATTACTTGCAGTATTTATTTTGCATGAGTTCAGTTATGGTCTAGTAGGGGCCATTACATGAGGCGAGTTGTCCCGCTTAAACGGGTCAACTCGCTTCTTAGCCGAGACGAGTTACAAAATTGCAATTACCTGAAAGGTTTTGACCCGCACGGGAGAGCAATTTTTGGCATGAATAAATTAGTTGCGTAGTTTTTTTGATTATGAATTGTAAAGATACGTGGATACATGGATACATGGATACATGGATGCATGGATACATGGATACATGGATACATGGATGCATGGAACATGGATGCAGGATGCATGTCTGTTTCGTGGACTTTGCTGGACCAAATGTGTTATTTTGATATTTGTGAGCCCACAGTCGATATAATGCTTCAGCCTTCACAGCAATTGTTTATCCGCTTTATACTAGTAGCGCGTTCAGACTGAGTGCCCCGGTACGGTGCTCAGGCACGGGCACCAATGTGAACACAACATTTTGATGGTACCGGAGTCAAAGTGCCCGGGTCTGGGCACCTCGAAAATAGGTAGTACCCGAGTACGGTGCTCAGGCATGGACACCAATGTGAACACAACATTTTGATGGTACCTGAGTCAAAGTGCCCGAGTCTGGGAACCTCGAAAATAGGTAGTACCCGAGTACGGTGCTCGGGTAGGAGCACCAATGTGAACACAACATCTTTATGGTACCCGAGTCAAAGTGCTCGGGTCTGGGCACCACGAAAAAGGCAGTACCCAAGTACGGCGCTCGGGCACGGACACCAATGTGAACACAACATCTTTATGGTACCCGAGTCAAAGTGCCCGGGTCTGGGCACCTCGAAAATAGGTAGTACCCGAGTACAATGCTCGGGCACGGACACCAATGTGAACGACGACACCTGAATAACGTGTACAGAGATGCATCTATTCAGCACATGGTTTTAAAACTTGTGTACAGTGAAAAACATGAAATTATAAATAAACGAAGCTAGTGGGTACTACGTAGTGTGAACGGCCTGCAGATTTGTGCCCGAACCACGGTATCGTTCTCCAGCACTCAATCAGAACGGGCTGTTAGGTGTTAAAGGACATTGGCAACGAAAATTTTTTTTTCATACGTTTATCATAGATAGCTATGGAATACTTAATTTTGTGTTTTCGTGTCTCTTTTGAATTTTGCTGTTGAGAAAATTTGACATAAAGTTGAATCCTTATCCGCCATTTTGGAAAAAAGCCTTATGCTAAATTATGGCGGAATACATTACTGACGTCATTGGCTGGTATCCACTGAATGACACTAATAATAGTATTATAATAAAATATAGCACATTTGTGTTAAGAATATTTAGGTAAAGAATGAAAACATCCATTGATTGATTTGGATATATTTAATGATAGTTAACAACAACAGCGTGTGCGCAAAAGGGCAGTAGGAACAGAACAGAATATATCAACATCACATGACATAGTTGATCATTATAGCATGACTTATATGAAGTTCTTCAACACTCCCACTTAATGATCATACTATAAAAAGTTTTTTTTTTTTTAACTAATCCAATTAATGTCTCTAACTTGGGAATTACTTAATTTTCTTGACTCCCAACATATCTCGAAAGTTCTCAAAAGTTTTTCTTGGTAGAGCTTTTGTCATAATATCTGCTAACATATTATCTGTCGAACAGTATACCACAGACATCACATCACGATTGACTTGTTCACGGACAAAATGAAAAGCTATGTCCACATGTTTGGTTCGATTATGGAATTTAGGATTTTTTGTAAGTTCTATTGCTCCCTGATTGTCTTCGAAAACTATAGATGGTTCGTCTTGCTGTGTTCCAATGTTTGAAAGCAATCTTCTCAACCAAACAATTTCTTGGCTTGCTAAACTTAAGGCTATGTACTCGGCTTCAGTGGTTGATCTGGATACTGAGGTCTGTCTCTTACTTCTCCAACTGACAGTATTATTTTGGATTTGAAACACATATCCGGAAGTTGATCGTCTGGTCTCAATATCACCTCCCCAGTCTGCATCAGAATATCCGGATAACACAGGATCTGAACTAGTAGCCGTGAATAACAAACCATAATCCAACGTTCCCTTTAAATACTGGAGGATTCTCTTTACACCTTGCCAATGTACTACGCTTGGTCGAGACATAAACTTCGACAAAATTCCGACTGCCGATGAAATATCGGGACGAGTAGCAGTAGCTGCATAGGTCAGACAACCAATTGCCATTTGATATCTTTGAGTCTCCACTGGTGTCTCATCTTTTGACAATGACTCAAATTTCATTCCAGTCTCCATCGGTGTTGTGACAGGTTTGCATTGGTCCATTCCAAATCTCTTAAGTATCCCTTCCAGATATTTTGGCTGACTAATGGATAGTGTTCTTGTCTTGCGGTTTCGTTCAATCACCATTCCAAGAACATATTTCACTTCTCCTAAGTCGTCCACTTTAAATCTTTCAGCAATCATATCTTTTTCCTTTTTTAGCATCTCTGAATTATTTGAAAACCATAGCATGTCGTCAACATAAATAGCCATTATCACGAAGTTAATCTTTTCCTTTTTTTGTTTTACTGACTTAACAGACGCATGGATCTGCAGTTGATTTCTTGTATCCGTTTGATGTAAGATAGGTGTCAATAGAGGTGTTCCAGCACCTAGCTGCCTGATTGAGGCCATAAATACTTTTCCTAAGCTTACATACGAACTCAGGTCTATCTTTGTCAACGTAACCACTAGGTTGTTTCATGTATATTTCATCTTGCAATTCTCCTTGCAAGAACGCTGTATGGACATCCATTTGATGAATCTCCCAATTATAGATATTAGCGACAGCCAACAGTGATCTTATAGTTGTGTTACGAACTACAGGTGAGAATACTTCTTGGTAGTCTATCCCTTCGGATTGAGAATATCCCTGAGCAACCAAACGAGCTTTAAATCTGTTGACAGTTCCATCAGAATTGTGCTTCACCTTGAACACCCAACGACTTCCCACAATATTCTTGTTGTTTGGTGGAGGAACGAGTTCCCATGTTCCATTATTGATTAAAGAGTCATACTCAGAATCAGTTGCCTTTTTCCACTGATTTGCATGTTCTCCTGTCCACGCTTCTTTTATGTTTAAAGGCTCATCAACATCTTCCGTGAGGTTATCAGCAATATAACACTCGTCGTCAAATCGTCGTGGAGGTCTGCGTATCCTTTTTGCATTCAAGTTTTCAGTCTCTCGCAAGAAACGTTCTTCATAACTTCCTCCCACTTGTTGACCAGGCACCGCATTTTCATTGACATTCATGTCATCAACAATTTGGTCACCTTCATCATTTTCAGGTTGTTTTTCTTGAACTTCGATTGATTTATCTTCTTCGGGATAGTAGAAAGATTTGGGTTGTGCAGAAGAATCCTTACTAAATTCGTAAAATTTCTTTTCAGCGAACATAACATCTCTTCCACGGATAAATCTTTTTGATAATGGATCATAGAATTTATAAACTTTGGTTCCAGCAGGATAACCAACAAAGATAACTGGTCGGCTCTTTTCTTCAAATTTTCTACGATTCTCAGTTGGAATATGGAGAAATGCTAAGCAGCCAAATACTTTCAAGTGCGACACATTAGGCTTCTGATTAAAAAGGACTTCATAAGGCGTGATTCCTTTGAGTGAGCTATTGGGACTTCGGTTTCGAAGATAGGCGGCAGTGCTGACAGATTCAGCCCAAAATTCTCTTGGTAGACTTGCATGATGCATCATACACGTGGCAGATTCCACAAGTGTCCTATTCATCCTTTCTGAGACACCGTTTTGTGCAGGACTATAAGGAGCTGTCAACTGATGACTAATTCCTTTTTGTTTCAAATATGATTCGAATTCCTTTGAACAATATTCACCGCCATTGTCGGTACGAAGCACTTTAATTGGTTTGCCAGTGAGGTTGGTGACATGATTAACGAACTCTTGGAATTTTTCTAAAACTTCACTTTTTCTCTTGATAAAATAGACGTACGTGTAACGAGAAAAGTCATCAATGAAAGTTACGAAATACCGTGAGAAACCAAATGAGTTAACCAATATTGGTCCACAGACATCACTATGTACCAATTCCATGAAATTAGTTGCACGCTTTCCACCTCCTTTAGGATATTCAGTTCTATGTTGCTTTCCCATAATGCAACTTTCACAAATTGAACGTTCCTTACTTTTGTCTTCATTATTTATTCCATAAACCATTTCCCCTTTCATCAATTCTTTTATATTGTCAATACCTAAAATGACCATATCGATAATGCCATAGTTTAAGGATAGAATGTTTTTGTGAAATGTATACATGATGATCTTCTTCTTTTGTTTGTAGCAAATAAAGTTTACTTAGAAGATTTCCAACAGCTAGCAACTTCCCATTTCTAGCAATTTCACATCTCTTGCCTTTGAATTCCACTGTTGCACCTAATTTGATCATTGCTCGAACAGAGAGTAAGTTTTTATCAAGATCAGGTAGATATAGAACATCATGTAGAGCTATTGCTTGATTACGATTTCCCAGATCACACACAATATGATAAGTACCTTGACCAAATGCCAATATTGACCGATTATCTCCTAGATGAACAATACTTGGTTTGTCAAATGCTATGTATTCTGTTAAGCGATAATTCTCACTGGTCATGTGTTGTGTTGCTCCCGAGTCAATAATCCATACTGATTTATTCAGCAGATCAGTAGCTACCAATGCTTTCTCTTCATTAGTCAAAGCATCTTCTTTCTGTGCATACTGAGCTGAATTCTTCTTATCCTTTTGATGGAAGGTGTTCCCACCACTTTTCATATTCCGCTTTGGACAATCACGGGCGAAGTGCCCAACTTCTTTGCAATTATGACATTTTCCACGAAATACCATACCATTTTTCTCATTATTGTTGCTTTTGCCTTTCATATATTTTCCCGTACTGTATATGCATTCTCTTTAGCTTTTGTATTCACACCTTTCAACATCGTTCAATAACATATTTTTCACCTTATCATATGATAGATTCTCATCACCCACTGCATCTAGTGCCGTAATCAGAGGTTTAAACTCTTCCGGCAAGCTGGCAAGCAATGTCATGGCCAGTTCCTTATCATCGATCGACACATTCATTTCTTTCAGTTGATCGTGCAAAGATTTTAACTGACTTACATGTTCCATCATATCATTACCTGGATGAAAACGAAGCGAGTAGTATTGTTGTCTTAAGCGTACTTTTTGCAGCAATGATTCACGAGCAAACTGCCTTTTCAGGGCATCCCAAGCTTCCTTGGCTGTGTTTGTATCTCTAACATGAATCTGGTATTCGGGTTCTATGGCTAAACATATATATGTCCAGGCTTTCTTCGCACTTGAAACGAATTTTCGTCGCACTTCTGCATCAGCATCTTCCGTTGGAGTTTCAGCCGTTCCATCTGTATGCTCAAACAAATCATGACTCTCCAAATATAAGCGCATGTTGAAGGACCAAGAGCGGTAATTCGACCCATTCAGTTTTGCGAATTTCAACGTGTTTACATCAGCCATGTTTAACACAAAAATTTCATTAAATATATTTCATACACATTCATTCGGTTTACCTAATCGTACTTAGGCGTTCTGGGCCCATAACCTGTTAAGAATATTTAGGTAAAGAATGAAAACATCCATTGATTGATTTGGATATATTTAATGATAGTTAACAACAACAGCGTGTGCGCAAAAGGGCAGTACGAGCAGAACAGAATATATCATCATCACATGACATAGTTGATCATTATAGCATGACTTATATGAAGTTCTTCAACAATTTGTTCACTGGAATTTTAAAACAAAAACAACATTCGGCGGTTGTTAAGATTAACAAAAGTTGTGTAGTTTATCACACTTATATACTTTTCCAA